TATATATATATATATATATATATATATATATATATATATAAATAATGAATTAGTTACGCGGCTCTGACTCGTGCATAAATGTGCACATTCCTTATTAATGATGGAAACATTTTACCCATCAGAGGCCGAGATGGGAACAATAAATGGATGGAAATTAAGTGAGCTTGAGTCCAACCTGAGCCAGGTCTATATGGCCCAAGCCCCGTTCCCCTTATGTGGGCCCTTTGGGTCCCGACTGGCTTATGGCTCAGTCTGTAGTCTCACTCCACACCACCGATGCATTGGCCTCATGCACATTTCTACTTTGACACATGGATAATTGCAATCAGACGCAACAAAGGGGCAAATTGCAAATGATGCGCAACTCATGGTTTTGAATTGCGTGAAAACGTGACTACAGTGAGACTCCATTACTCCAGCAACGATTAGCACATTCACTTCAATCAACACTGACAATTTTTGCGTTACAGGAAACACCTAAAACTGTTTGCCTAGAAGAAATACTCAAATATTTTGTACCAGTCGATCACCTCAAATATTCCAGTCTTACGCAGTCGTCTTCTGATCTCACGTTCTGGTCATTCTTATTTCTTGACCCGAATCAACCACCAACACCTCCCGTGTTTCTCACTCATAAACTTAATATGTGACCTGTTTTACCTGGAGGTGAACCTGAGGACTCTGGAGATGAGGCCAGTCGCCAGGCCGTTGACGCTGGCCTCTGATGGCGACCGACACAGCGCCCCGTCCGACCGGCCCAGCTCGGCCTTCTTCTGCTTCTTCCGGAGCTTCCTGCGGTAGAAAGCCTCCAGCAGCTCCATGGCTCAGATTCAAAGTCCACTATACTCTAGTCTCTACTCTACTGCCTCTGTCTTAGCTATACTGTTCTTAACTAATTGTTTCTTCTTCTCTTAGAAAATCACACAATGGTCCATTTCAACACCTTTTACTTCGGGCTGTTTGTTTGGCGTCTCCTTCTAGAAAGCTCCAAATTTGGTCATTTCAACTGAACTCTACTCAACTGTTACCTTACATGCTCTCCTGTGTACATGAGTACTTCCAAAAGCACTTGTCCTCTAACAAAATCTACTCTGACCACCGATTGGACCTTTGGCCATCTTCGGTTTCTGTGTCTTTTCGTAACTTTTGCTGTTTCTTATTTGACCTCTAACCTTAGAAACCTGCTTTGCTCTACTGTCTACATCTAATCTACTGCTACTCAAACGTAACTCAAATCAAAACCTTCTTTCTTTATCAAATGCGTCTCCAATGTTGCAGTCCACTGTCGGCCGTGTCTCCTTTGAAGAAGTTCTTATCCAGACCAACGCAAACCACCCTATTCCTCTCTTCGTTCAGCTGCTCCTCTTCCCCATCAACACTCCATCGAAAAGACTCGCCACTACCGATCCTCAACCACCCTCTGATATGTCCCTTTTGCAGTTCCAGTGTGGGGCTGGCAGGTTGGATCGAGTTGCATTGCGTTGGTCCCTGTCCCAGAGCTCATTAGGCAAACAAAGCAATTAAATGTCATTAGGCCATATGATAAAAGCATGGAGTAAACATCCTTAGCCCAGCTTGGTCTGGATGGTAGCTGTTGATGTGGTGTGTGGGCGAGAGACACTGAGAGTCTGAAGAGAAAGAGAGCGAGAGAGGAGGGACGAAAGAAAAGAGGGAGGTAGGGTACAAGATAGCAAGGAGGAATGAGTAGCAAGAAAGGGAGGGAGGAGGGAGGGAGATAAAGACTGATGGAGAGATGGTAGAAAGAGAGGAAATGGTGGGAGAGATAAAAGGAAGGGGAGGATGAAAAAGGCAGAGGGGTGAGGGATTTGGAACTCCACAAGATTTTCTTTCCTGTCCAACAGACAGTGAAAATCAAAATCAAAATGAGAACTTGAGGAGGTAAAGAGAACACAGTAAAGGTTGAGAGTGGAATGAGGAGGAGGAGGGAGGACACATAAACTAGGAGAGAGAGAGAGTTGCTGAAAACAGTGGGTGATTGAGACGATTTTGTAGCTGCAGGGAGAAATACGTCCCATGATGCAGCGTGTGCTTCCACAGTGAACAGGGAACAGACTACTATTGATTTTTAGATTATCACTGATAGACGGCCTGGAGTCCAAAAACAAGGGCAGACATATCAACAAAAGTTTGGAATCACTGATCGGTGTTGAGAAATTTACTTGACAGATAATGCTTTCTTAGAAAATAAATAATGATAAACTTTGGTCGTCCCCTGATTTTTTATCTAGGGCCACCATTGTTGGTAACATCTTGACTTTTGGATGGATTGCTGGGAAATTTGCCCCAAATATTTGTGGTACCTAAATAATAAATACTCAGTGGTGGGCCGTCACCACTCACAGAGTTATAGCTATTTTATAATTTAATAATTTTTCAGAAATACACTAGATGTATTCTAATTATTTTTCCCATTATCTTATTTTCTCATTGCACAGCTACTGTCTTCCTCAGTTGCTCTGCTTCCAGTGCAGCTTGTTTTAAGTAGAGCTTTTATCCAATCAGATTTCACCTCTGTGTCTCTAGGTAAGGAGAGAGGCCCGAGGCCTGCAGACTCACAAGTGAATCCCTTTGCAGTTTAAGTGAATGGGGACGATATTGTTGATTGTCATAGTGTTCAACCAATCAGATCTTTAGTTTGACATGTTGGGCGTATTCTTTGACATGTCAGAGCCTGCTAGCTGGCCTACAAGTACGCATTAAAACATATTCAAGAAATACAACTGGGTAGGCTCGACTGTCTTCACTGGTGTCCATGAATCGAGAAGGACTTCTTACTGGAACTAAAACGCACGGATGTACTGAACAACCGTGGGATTAAACTATTTGTTAACAAAGAAAGGAGGATGGACTTTGTCTTTAAATAGTGAACAGTAGCTCTGGTAAGTTAAATGCATTTGTTTTTACATCTGCAGTAGCTTTAATATGCTTGTTTATATATTATTATTTGTACAATTTGTTTTTATGAAGATTTTTGTTTGGTTTAATATGTGATAGGAACCATTGTTACGTCCAATGTTGCTCTGGGGACACATTTAGCCGGTGCCAGTGTTGGCACTTGGCGAGTTTTTCGCTAAATCTGGTGACTTTCCAAACCCTCATGGCGACTTTTTTTGTCAAAAGCTACTAGTGACAAATCTAGCGACTTGTTTTGGTGTTGTTGGAGTCTTTTCTGACGTTAAAGCACAAACGTTCTGCACTTTTGTGAACGAGCAGCGGGTGCTCCTCCGCCGCCCCAAAGCACTCACAGGCGGTAACTCGCGCAGCAGTCCCAGCTGCAGTCAGAGCAGAGAGGAGACGCACTCCCGGCGTATTCTCTGCAGATAGGTGTTGAGCTTCATTTTTACACGAAACAAATAATAACCGTAGCTGTGTTTCAGCTGCAGGACAGCAGTGAAGGCCCAGGTATAAAATCCACGGCCCGCCACTGGTAAAACAATATCCTCCACCAACAGCAGAAATATTGCTTCTTCAGAAGTTGATTTAGCTGCTTCAGCTTTGCAGCGTTATGTCTTTGCCAGGATATATGCGGTCAAACTACATCTCTTAGCTTACATTGGTGCTTCTCAGAATCAAGGGCCAAAATGACGGACTATTTTTCAAGCCTTTTTTTTAAATAGAATCCCTAAAAATCTGTACATCATTTGGGAAAAACATGATCCTGTACAGTCTACATCCTACTTCCTAATTCTGAAACCATAACACAACAAATGTAGAGGATGATTCATTTTCACTCCAGCCACCTAAAAAACAGAAACACATTTTTTTAAGTTACATAATATACATTCCTAGGATTCCTCAAAGACGACTGTTTTCTCTAATACAACTCCATAAAGACATCTGGTAGCTTCTTAAGGACCCCTGCATTCCTCCTGGCACCACTAGAACCTCCTTAATTTCAGCCCTCTGATTACTTCTCGGGGTACCAGTACTCACTCAAGAATATTACATGTTCTTGTTTTTAATAAGTCAACACTCAGCATTGTCAATGTGTAGCTGATCCAAACTCATATCAGTTAATGTCACTTTTTGGTTTATTTCTAAAAACACACAGCTCTGTGATCCACCTCTGGCCCCAGACACAAAAGAGGAAGCGGCTGCAGGTTAAATCCATGGGTGTTCAGTGAAGATGTAGCTCCTCAAAGTGCTACTACAGGTACCCATGATTCACGGCGCTCCAACTGTCGGATTCCTGGGAATCACGTGTCACGGGAATGTCATCAGATGTATCTGAGATCACAGAGAGAAATGGATGATGGAACGGTGAGGATATCCTCTCCCTTTGTGTAGCGTTTGAATCAGGTGTCAAGGCCAGACCGACCCCCAGCGCTTTGTAATGAAAGGCTGCAGAGCTGTGCAGCCCCAGTTTCATCAGAGCGCACATACACACACAGATGTACTTGTATGTGTGTTCTGTTCAGGTTGATGAAATGTGAACACACCCTCAATAATTAGGGATAATAACCAGCCTTCCTCCTCCTGCTGCCCTGCTACCCAGGACATACTCTGTGTATGTATGTGTCTCTCCTGGACAACTTCAAAGACCAGTGGAACCTCCTCAGGGACGTCTGGGACCCATTCAATAGTCCATCCATGTCTCTGTGCGAGCTAACCAGGCTATCATTTTTTGTTTTCTAAATTTCTTAATTGCTAAACTGTCCCTTAGCCAGTTTTTGGAAAACATATTCAGATGCTAAGCTAAGCTAACGGGACCTAAAAGCTAAACTCTAACCAAACTGGATCCTTGGACACTCGGCTTGAAACCAGGACAATCGGAACGATACCTTACCTAGAAGCCAACCGAACCAAAGCAAATTCTAAGCTAATGGGAACTAGAAATCTAAATAAAGGGGAACCAAAAAGCTAACCCTTAGCTAACAGGAATAACCAGCGAACTCTAAGCTTTGAGACAAAAAGCTAACTCTAACCCAGTGGTTCTCAAACTTTTTCTGTCACGCCCCACTTTGGAGGAAGAAAATTGTTCATGCCCCATCGCCCCAACAAAAAAAAAGAACTTTTATTGAAATAACAACATTTTGTGACTCCTCGATCTGTGCTTTTTCAAATAATAGAATAAAGAAAATTGCAATCACTTTCAAGTAAACCAGATTGCTCCATCAGACAAAAACAAATACAATGTGTAATCACTTTGTTAGAACAATGCAAATAAAGTTCTATCTGTGCAAAAAAGAACTAATATTTGGCAAAAAATAGCTTATTGTGGCTGCAATTCACCTGTTTTGCACTGAATATCTTTTCAAGATAATAATAATAAAGTGCAACCTGTGAAAAACTAAACAAAACAAGTTCAAATATTTGGCAATAAAGAGTTTTACTGAGTTTTACACTGCATATCTTTTCAAAACAACAATAACGTGCAACCTGTGCAAAACAAAGCAAAATGAGTGCAGATATGTGTGAACCATCACATTGTATCAGTATTAGTGGCTGCAATGAGCCTGCTTTTCACTACAGATCTTTTTAAAACGGGGTTGCAGGCTTGATACGTCCACTCTCAATTCATGCTCAATGTTGAGCTTAGGTCTGTATTTTGTTTTGAGAGACAACAGCAGAAAAGCCGATCTCACAGAGGTAGGATGTGGCGAAGGGAAGCACACTGAGCTACACATGTGAGTCGCCGTCGCGCATGCGCAAGCGTAACCTGTTAACGGCGTAATGTAAACATTTACACGAAAGTACAGGTATTTCGCCATGTATTTATTAATGACTTTGTTTTATGTCAAAACTTTGTACTTTTGTAATATGTGAAGTTCTCAATAAAGTTCTTGAAAAAAATTCTGCATTTCCCACTGCGCCCCACCTGTAATACCAATGCGGCCCACTAGAGGGGCGCGCCTCACAGTTTGAGAAATACTGCTCTAAACTAATGTTAACAAATGATACCGAGCTAACTTGAAGCTAAAGATGAATGGCTTAATCTCAAACTGTATTGCTACAAACAAACCACTGTGTGCTTGCAGAAGGCAAAAAGAAACTTTGCGTCCAACTGTGTAAGTGTTTAGCCTAGCTTAGCACAAACACTGGAAGCAGAGGGAAAACCGGCAAAGAGAAAAAAAAAACACGAACAACTCCAAAGCTGTCTGATTTCCACAAATCTAATTCTTGAACTGGAGAAGAAACAGAGATGTGAGACATTGTGGTTGTATCAGCAGTAAGAATTAGAGCTATTTGTTGAACAACCACAGCTGGGAGCAGTGACTGCATGTAGCATCTCAAAAGGTCCTGTCCTCATAGTGGAGTCAGCAGGGTGGATGGTTTGGAAACTAACTTTTTAATGTCCCCGGCTGGTCTCATCCAGTATTCATAGCTATACCTACGAATATAATGCACCATAATTCGTAGACATCCCTCAAAATAATTTTGTATGTAATCCACGTAATTATGAAAGAGGAAGTGTAAAGTGTGTGTGTTCAGGGTGTGTCTCTCTGAACAGAGACCTTATCTATTGCCGTGGGAAACTGTTCCTCCAGCCCAGAATAATAATCTCTTTGATCTGCTCAGAAACCAAAATTGCAGAGCGAGGGAGAGAGGTGGGCCAAAGTGGATGCTGGGGACACACTTGACCTGTGTGTGTCAGAACATGTTTGTGAATATATGTTAATAGCTTTTCTGCATGTTTGGGGTGTGTCAAAATTTGTCATTGGATAGTATTGGTACCATTTCTGCCACTAGTCCTGGTCTCTGATTGGCTGGCAGTGTTTCTCATACCAGAGGGGTCGCTAGTTAGTGGCTATTGATAAGACTATTGGAACAAGATATTCAGTGAGGTTGGTCTGACAGTTGAGCGGGCCACGGCAATCAGATGAAGTGGGCCAATCAAGCCAGTGGGGTCAGCCGCTGAAGTTTAACCTGAGCAGACACAATGCAGATACAAGGCCTGGTCAAGCTGCCAAGTATCTGTCCGTTGCTCAGGTGAGTATAAGATTCAAAGGCGGATAAAGGTACATTAGGCGAGGGCTCAGAAAGAGGTCAGCCATCACGGGGCCCAGGTAGATTCATGACAGCACAGCTTGATACTAAGGGCTTAGTGACAGGTCAAAAGGTCATTTAACAGGAATCCTGGGCTGCCAGGGGAATGCTAACCCAACATGTGGCACATTTTACTGTGCGCTGATAACTACGGACCTCCTCAAGGACCTCCTGATCAATAATCACTGGGAACTCTTAAAGCTCTTATGGAACCTCCACTGTAGGGCCAATGGAACCTCTTCCAGGACTCCTGGAACTTTCTCTAGGATCCCCTGAGACCAAGGACACCCAAAAATATGCAGACACTCACTAGACCACATCAACCACGGCCACAGACAGCAGTACCTCAAATATCAATCGAGTCAAC